ATCATTGTTGTTTGGCGGGCCCAGGCTGGATTCGAATCCCCCACCTTAGGTGTATGTGGCTGGCGCCTTAGCCACTTGAGCCATAGGCACCGAGCCTTTTTTTTTTTTTTCTGAGACAGAGTCTCACTTGTCACTCTGGGTAGAATGCCATGGAATCATAGCTCACAGCAACCTCAGAATCTTGGGCTTGAGCAATCCTCTTGCCTCCGCCTCCTGGAGTAGCTGGAACTACCGGCCCCTGCCACAAAGCCCAGCTATGTTTTCTATTTAATAGAGACTGGGTATAACTCTTGCTCAGGCTTTTCAACTCCTGACCTCAGGCAGTCCAGTCTATTTGCTGTGGCTTCCCGTAGTGCCAGGGTTACAGGCCTGAGCCACAGTGCCCAGTCTAGATAACTTTTTTCTTTTGTTTCCAGAACAGTCATCTTGGAATGGATACTTCTGATTACTGTTATGAGCGTTCCCAACCTCCCTCTTGTAAGGTGGTTTTAATAATACCTGCTCATATTTGAATGTTGGAATGCTAAAGAGTAAAGCCAATTTTTTTTTTTTTTGAGACGGAATCTCACTTTGTTGTCCTTAATAAGAGTGCTGTGGTGTCATCACTCACAGCAACCTCAAACTCCTGGGCTTAAGTGATTCTCTTGCCTTACCCTCCCAAAGTAGCTGGGACTATAGGCACCTGCCACAATGCCCAGCTATTTTTAGAGATGGGGTCTCTCTCTGGCTCATGCTGGTCTCAAACCTGTGAGCTCAGGCAATCCACCCACCTTGGCCTCCCAAGTGCTGGGATTACAGGCATGAGCCACTGTACCCATCCAGTAAAACGTAATCTTAATTTAGGTACACTCACCTTTGGCTTACTGAACATAACCAAAGTCTGGTTAAGGGAGAAAGGAAAGCCCAAGGGATGAACAAACCTAGTCTACATGTTTCCCTTCTGAGAAAATCCAGTAGTCTCTTCATGGGAGGACTGCTTAATGTATTAAAGCAAGAGGTATTTTCCTATTATACATCAAAAAAAATTTTTTTTTCGGCTCGGCGCCTATAGCTCAACCGGCTAAGGCGCCAGCCAC